TGCGAACCTTCCGCTGAGTGGATTGATTTGGGCTCATTTCAGAAAGAATTCTCCTAGTGGGAACCTCTAGCTTTCCTTTGCCCTTGTCGGTTGGTAGGAGAACCACAGTTTTTCCTCTACTCGAATGCCACTTTTCATATCCTTCAAATATATTATCGTGGTAATTGCCACTTTGGATTCTGACAATCGTCTTCCATGCCTTTACGACCTCCTGAATTTTGTTTTTGCAAAACCCAATATCATAGGCAAATTCAGAGTTTCTTAAGTCATGTGTGGCGGGGATAAACTGACGTACCCATATCTGACGTAGTACCATTAATGGGGCATAAGATACACATCCCCATGGACCCAATAACGACAGACTATGAAATTTACCACACCTATACATCATAGGTTTGGTTGACATCCATCGGGCTCTCCACTCCACGTCTTCTGGCCTTAGTCCTGCAAAGAAAATGCTCCACTCTTCTTTTCCTGGGTGAATTTGACTCCAATCTGCTTGGTTGAATTCAAGCATGAGATTTTGTAATCTACTCCACGATCTTGAAAATTTGACCTGAGGACACTTGAACTCTGGTGGACAATTTATATGGCTGAGGATCCAAATGTATAGCAGCTGAGCACAGCCTATAAATTTCCCTACTCCTCGCGATCTGCAAAAATTTAGTGCTCGGAAGGTTTCTGCCAGGATGGGTATTACGAGATTAACCCCCATTTCTACCTTGACAAATAGCTTGACCACCYGCTCTTCAACGTACCMACTAACTYTAGGGAATAAAACCAAGTTRAATAAGCACAGAGCTAATAGCGATAGCTCCCTTTCTTCATTAACGAACCTCTRCTGAAGACTCRGGATATATTCTATCGGYAAGCATGTGTTTTCTCCCTTCCTTTTCACATGTTTTTCAATCTCAYCAGCMGATATYTTCCCTACAAGCAGCGATACTGCCCTTTTCAATGTAAACCCACCATCATAGGAATAAACCTCAATTTTCTCTTGCAGTGGTATTTGTAAGAGGGTGTGGTATTCCTCGATAGTTGGGGTTATATCCATTGAGCTAAAAGTAAAGCATCTATAGGGCGGATCCCAATGTTGAACTAATGCTCTCAACACTGAGAAGTTTACTCGCACGTACAGGAGCTGCGCTATGTGGCCATATTTTTTTATGAACTGGGTCTTTCTATCTGGTCTTAAACCCTCCCATAAACGTTTCAAGGTATCCAACTGATTTTCTGGAAACGTTACATTTGGAAATGGCATGATTACATTCTGTGATAATGCGTCACCATGAGTATGTTGCATGTTCTCTGACCATTGACAGACAATTTCTTGGTCTTGCTTTCTCCACTCTTGGGTAGGAACCTTACTGGAACTCATGCTTTAATTTACTGTCAATATTAATGATTTAAGACTTAGGTCAATTTTGGTAAAATTGAAAGAAAATAAATTTAAAGGGAAAGTTGCGAAACTCTTTTTTTTATTGTTGTAAAAAAAACGATTATTAAGTGAGAGAATGTATGAGACTCTTTTAAACAAATCACTTTATTAACACCAACAAAAACAAACTAAACAAAAAAATAATAATAAATAGCAGAAATCTGATGCTAAAATGAGTGTAAAGTTAATGCCTACACAACCTAGAGGGAAGCGGCCCCCAAATCTTCCATACGCTTGCGCGGTATGGTCAACTTGAGTGGAGAATTTCATGCGCTTGCACGGGAACAAAAATTCCACGAATGTCACACTACTCAGTCCCCGATCTAATCTTAAAGGTAAAGCCCAGGTAGGAGGCTTGTGTATTTGTGCGAGATGCATCTGATGCCAAACCAAATTAATAAAAAAAAAAACAAAGCGAACAAGAAAGGAGGAAAAAAAAA